TTTTTTATATATTTTATATATAATTATTTATATTTATTATTTGTTATAGCAAATAACAAATAAGATCTCAGCGATTATCTAAAATGTGTATTTTGTCAAACTGAGCTGACAAATTTCAGTACCATGGTCATAGGCTGAAACCACAGAATGTGTATCTGATGTTTAGATCTAAATTTGGTTTGCTTACCCTGATATCCAAAAAGAACTTTGTCCAAACTGCTAATAATAAAAATGACAATAAATTGTATCAGCATACTATATAGGAACAAGATGATGCAAATATTACTGGGAATAAAACATTTCAGATCCAAAAAAAATCTAGGTGGTAGAAAAACAGTCACAAGCTACATAACATAGTATCTATGTTGTGGTAATATGGTGAAGTAAATTTATTTTTATCTGTGTTTGTGAGCTGTTTTGAGCTTACACATGGTGCTATTTAATTTATGCCATTTGATTTATATTTGGGGAAAAGACCAAGAGATCCAGGGAAGCTTCTATGTTAAATGTTGCCCTATATTTGATTGATACAAAGTAAAGCTAGAGAGTAGTATAGTGATACTCTTACCTGTTCGGACATTGTACTGAGGGTTCATTGGACCCACAGACACTGAATGAGAAGTTCAGCTGAACATCTACCCCATGTGTAAAAGTCTGTAGGAATAACTGTAACTAAGTGGTGAGCAACTGTAGTGCTAGAAACACCAAATCCTCAAGTTCTGAGTCAGTTCAGTCTCAGGCAACTCCCACTAATTTGGCAGTCATGGGTTAAATTCCTATTTTCACAGCTTTCATCTCTGAAACCAGAAAAAAATAACATTACCACGTGCAAGTGCTCTAGAGCATGCTATAGCAATGAACTGATGAATGAAGTAGCATAAAAGAAATAATGACAGCATAAGTTAAGGGTTAAATTAGAGATACTTTGAAAAAGAAGTGAAACAGTACAATATTTAGATTTCTTCTGGCAAAAATATCTAAACCAAAGAACTGACCCTTGGGGTGTAATTAGATTGCTGCCACAGAGATGCATATTGATTGCTGCAGTTCATGCTGACTTATTTAGAAAGTTTTATTAAAAATTTAAACTGTGATCAAAGATGTGTTAAATGAAAATGCACATAAGATTTAGGAGTCCTGAAGAAATGGAACCATCCTGATTGTAAAGGAATATAAACAAAAGTGCTTGCTTAAACACAGTCTTTCAAGGGGGAGACGACACACAAAGCTGCCCAGCAGAATCCTCTGAGGACCCTAATGACTACTGGTAGTGCGTTCCTGGCAACTTAGTAGCAAGATCTGAGAAAGGTCCTAATTCCCCTTTCAGAAAGGCATAGAGAGAGCCAAATACACACTTACATGATGGTTAAAGGGAGTAATATAACTCTAACAAAATAGCAACAAGAACAGCTACTCTCTGGGGGGCTACAAGTCCCTACTGTGCAGATCCTTGCTTTCCCAAGTGGCTCATGACCTACAGCAGCACCCTGCCTTCTTAAATAGCAGCAGCAGCTGCTCCACACAGATCCAGATCTTCTATTTGTAGCAGCAGAGATGTCTCTAGGATGGTGTGTATCAATGATGTCTTTCTTCTGTAATGTGACAGTACTGATTCAAATATAATAAAGCCCAGAAGGGCCTCTCTTTTCTCAAAATGATGTCCTCAGTTATAAATCCTTAGCACAAATAACTGATATCTAAGAAATTGTCTCTTAATTGCATAATAGTCACATGGTGCTTAATATAATGATTTCCTTACAAAGTGGAGATCTGAAGGTACGCGAACTAAGCATAGTAATTCTTTACACCAGCAGTGAGTATCCTTGTTTCACTTGCCAGTTTTCTTACTAGAGCCCTAGGAACAGTATCACTCACTCAGTCTGAGCGTATAAAGACTCCTGGGCATTTTTTAGGTACTGTGGTCTCAACCTTGTATTCACTGAGCACTCAAAATGCACAGCCACATACAGTACAAAAGCTGGGCAGGCCAGGATGGCAGGGGCAGGCACCCGAGCACTATGAATTTCTGTTTGCACAGCCCTTTGCAGGCAAACTCCAGCTCCTCTCAGCTGAGCCATTCGTGTGCTCACACAGTCTCTGCCTAGCTCAGAGCACAGCTAGAGCTCCAGCCCAACGTCTTGGAAATAGGGACAGCCCCAGACAGAGCTTCCTCACGTCCTCCTGCAGAATACAGTACAGATCAACTCTCAGTGAATTCTAACTGAAACCTCGGTAAGGAATAAGGTTTTGTAAATGGCACGGCGTGTGCATTTACAGTAAAAGAGTAAAGAAGCTAAAACTTGAGGCAAGACAGGAGGCAAGAAGTAGATAAAATGGCAGGGCAGCACAGCGGATCACTGCGATAACTGATTATTATAGCTTGTTATAGATTATAACAGAGACACACAGCATGCTATTTCCTTTGACCTCTTCTTTATAAGGCAGGAGGGAGTTGATTATGATGCGCCACATGACAGTGCCACATCCTTGTGTCAACCAGCAGCAGCAGGCATTAAATTTGTGATTTCTTAATCTTCATCGATGTGCCTCTACTGCTCTTCTGTGCTAAAGGTACAGCCTATCTGTATTAATCTAATCTACATCATGAGCTAGGCATCAAAGATTTAACAGTGTGATTTACTTCTGTACAATGTCCAGCTAATACTGGAGTGGAGCAGAATGCAACACTGTATGGGCATTGGCCTAATAGGCAGAAATAAAAGAGCATATGGTCTTTTCAAAAAGGCCATTTGTGTCATCCTATAAATCGTCTGAGTAACAGGTTTAACACTAGTAATATTTTCTTTCAAAAGTGACTTTTTTTTTTTTTTTAGGTTTTTTTCTGATAATAAGCCCAAACTCTGATACCCATGGATGCTGCAGAGTTCCGCAAGAGAGGGGAGGAGATGGTGAACTACATTGCAGATTACCTGGAGAAGATAGATAAAAGACAGGTCTTCCCAGATGTGGAACCAGGATATCTAAGGCCCCTCATTCCGGACTGTGCACCCCAGGATCCCGAGAGCTTTGAGGATGTCTTTAAAGACATTGAGAAGATCATTATGCCAGGGGTAAGAAAAATGGATCTGTAGTGTCATGTTCAATACTGCATTTAGGTTTTCAAAGACTTTAAGGAACGTGTGGATTGAAGGCTGTGCAGCTAGACCTTACGAACACAAGTACCCACGCTGATTCACTTTTAGAAGGCAGGAGTCTGATTTACATCCATAGTTAAATACAATCTAACACTTTACCCAACTAATGTTTTCTGTTCTTGCTAGAAATAATTAAATCATTCTTTTGCTTCATGTGAGGCTTGCTTGTGGAAATAATCGCCTTTCCTTCCTTGCATCGGTTATGGCAAAGCTTCATAACTTTCAGTTTCATGTGATATTTTTGCTACTTGCAAAGCACAGTAGATACTTTATAAAACGGCATTTTTATTAGTCTGCTGTGCCTAAAATGTTCCCTCAAGCTGATCTTTAAATGTTAAAATTCTCTTAGGAGACTTCTTTTTATTACAGAGTTGACTAGAAAGGATTTGCGCCAATACTTGTTCTGTTGACTTACTCTCCTAAATGTCAGCTTCTTCTAGTACCTTCTAAGGCAGATGGCCAACGCCTCAGTATTAGTCCTTGGATAGATCAGTGCTGGACAGCCAATGCAAAACAAAGCGTCTGGCATTTGTCCAGTTCTGAATCTTTCTTGTTTTGCCACTCATGGTATACCTTATTTATTTTAAAGATATGCTTGTCTCCTAAGGCCTGTGAGTAGCTTGAAGGGGCCTGGATTATTAGTAAATGTTAATGAGGAATCTCTGCTTTGGATCTCTGCAATAACCACTTTGGGTTGCTTCTCTGGGTGTAGCTAGGTGAGATGATTGCTATGTGACCGGACATGGAACCACTCCTCTGCAAAAGCGTTTAGTCAGTGTGCTATAATACCAATTCCTTTCCATTGACCAATGTAAATATTTGATAGTCAATATGACCTTATCTGGTTTCCCTTGGAGCCAACCCTGCTGTCCTTTCACAGGCAAAAGCTCCACTCAAGAAAATGGCAATCCCACCACTCTTCTCAAAGATTTGTGGATGAAGTCTTAAATCCAACAGAATTAAATCAATGCAGAGTAGATAAGAGAATTTTGTCCAACACGTGCAAATACTTTCATGTGCTGCTCATAGATGCAATTGCCTGTCCTGTTTCCTTGGAGGAAAATACTAACCAATTTCTTTTTGCCTGTGAAGTAGAACAGAAAACACTTTGCTTTGAACACTGGACAACGTTCAATAAAATAATATCAAATTAAAAAATAAGAGATGAATCACTTGAGAATAGAAAGTGAGACATTCAATTCCAATTAAGTCATCAACATGTCATGCTCCCTCTTAACTAAGCGGATTTTTGTCTTGATTTTCACATGCCCTGCAAATAAATTTACTTTTACAAAGTGATACGTTCTGAAGGAGAAATGGTCTATCCAAAACTTTCCTCTGGTGTGAAATGTTAGTGTTTGTGACACAAAGAGAGAGCACAGGTACGTAAATCCCGGTTCTTATAGTAACTCCGATTCTGCCTATGTTGTTTAGACTACCGACTGACGACTCAGATGAGCACAGAATCGCAAAGTCGGAGTACAGTAGAGGTCGGATGGCACCTCTAGAGATCATTTAGTCCACCCTTACTGCTCAAAGCAGAGTCAGTCAGAGCAGGTTGCTGAGGACCATGTCCAGCTGGGTGTTGAATATCTCCAAGGATGAAATCTTCACAATCTCTCTGCTGTCCTGTTCCAAAGTCTGACCACCCTCACAGCAAAAAAGCTTTTTCTTACATTTAAGTGGAATTTTCAATTTGTACACATTTCTTCTTCTCTTGGCACTGGATACCGCTGAGAAGAATCTGGCTTCATCTTCTTTACACCCTCCCATGAGGTGTTTATACACATTAACAAGATGCGCCCTGAGCTTTGTGAGGCTGAACAATCCCAGCTCTCTCAGCCTCTCATCATATGGCGGATGCTCCAATCCATTAATCCTCTCCATGGCCTTTCTCTGGAATCACTCCAGTATGTCCATGTCTGTCTTGTACTGGAGAACCCCGAACTGGAGACAGAATTCCAGGTGTGGCCTCACCAGTGCTGAGTAGAAGGGAAGGCTCACCTCTTTTGACCTGCTGGCAACAGTTTTCCTAATGTGGCCCAGGATGCTGTTGGCCTTGTTTGTTGCAAGGGCACATTGCTGGCTTATGTTCTGGTTGTCCACCAGGACCCCCAGGTCCATTTCTGCAGAGCTGCGTTCCAGCCAGTCGATCCCTGGCCTGTGCTGGTGCATCTTAAAAGTGTCCAATGTCAGGGAATCCACCACTTCCCTGTGGAGATTAGTCCAACGGCTGATTGTTCTCATTGTGAAAAATTTTCCTCTTGTGTCCAATTGGAATCTCCCCAAGAGTAAGTTGCACCCATTACCCCCCGTCTTTTCCATGTGACTCCTTGTAAAAAGGGAGTCGCCATCTTCTTTGTAGCTGCCCTTTAAGTACTGGAACATGGTGATAAGGTCTCCCCTAAGCCTTCTTTTCTCAAGACTGAAGAAACCCAGTTCTCTCAGCCTTTCCTCAGATGGCAGGCTTCCCAGTCCTTCGATCATCTCGGTGGCCCTTCTCTGGACCCCCTCCGGCCTGTCCACACCTTTTTTGTGTAGCAGGGACCAAAACTGAACACAGTATTCCAGGTGTGGCCTGACAAGCGCCGAGTAGAGAGGGATACTGACTTCTTTATGCCTGCTGGTGATGCCCTTGTTGATGCAACCCAGCATCCCGTTGGCTTTCTTTGCTGCAGCAGCAGCACACTGTTTGCTGATATTGAGCTTGTTCTCCACCGGGACCCTCAGGTCCCTTTCCACAGAGCTGCTCCCCAGTGGGGTAGATCCAAGCGTGCGCTGCACTCCTGGGTTATGTTTTCCCAGGTGCAAGGCCTCACACTTGTCCTTGTTGCACTTCAGAAGGTTCTTGGTAGCCCACTCTTCCAGCCTATCCAGGTCTTCCTGCAGGGTGGCTCTCCTTTCCAAAGTGTCCACTTCCCCACTCTGTTTGGTATCATCAGCAAACTTCATCAGGGTACACTTGATCCCATCATCCAGATCACTTATGAAGGTATTAAACAGCGTGTTCATCTATGACGGCCTCCTGCCACTCTTGCTTGGCTTCCTGCACGTGGGGTGGGCCGTTTTTTAACTGGGAGGAGGTTATCCCTGAAAATCAAGCAGCTCTCCTGGACCACTCTTCTCTCCACATCTGTCTCCCGCGGGATTCTTCCAAGCAGGTCCTGTAACAGGCCAAAGTCTGCTCTCCTGAAGCCCAGGGTTATGGTCCTGCTTTGTGCCTTTCTTCCTGCTCTCATGATCCTGAACTCTGCCATCTCATGGTCGCTGCAATCAAGGCGCCCCTGACTTTCACACCCCTGACCAGTTCTTTCTTGTTTGTAAGTATCTGGTCCCACAGCGTGTCTCTCCTCATCAGTTCCTCCATCACCTATGTTAGGAAATGATCATCGATGCACTCCAGAAACCTCCTGGACTGGGCGTGCCCTGCTGTGTTGTCTGTCCAGCAGATATCAGCTTGGTTGGAGTCCCCGGTGAAGACTATGACCTGCGAACATGAGGTTTCCTCCAGCTGTTTGAATGCTGTACTCATGTGCTTCTTCCTGATCAGGTGGTCTGTAGCAGACACCCACCCAAATGTTGCCCGTCTTGAAATCTCCACCATTCCTGACCCAGAAGCTCTTGACTGGCTCATTGTCCATCCTTAGGCAGAGCCCCATGCATTCCTGATGCTCCCTTGCATAAAGGAGCACTCCCCTGCCTCGCCTTCCCGGTCTGTCCTGCCTAAAGGGCCTGTCCTCATCTACCGCAGCACTTAGTCACGCGAGCTATCCCACCCCATCTCTGTGATCCCCATGCGATCACAGCCCTGTAACTGCACACAGCCTTCTCATTCCTCCTGTTTGTTCCCCACACGTCACGTCGTAGCACACAGGTGCTTCAGGGAGGCCCCCACTTGTGCTGCTTTCCCAGAGAAGATAGGAGAGCTTCCCCTGTAATGCTGCCCTCTCAGCACTTCCTTATTTGTGTGCATACGCTTGGGGTGGGTCCGCTTTAGCCCCGTCTGGTTTTCAGGATCTCCCTTGTCCACATTACCCTTCACCCTTGGCTTGGCAACTCAGTCCACCTTCCTCCCTTGACTGTGGGTTTTCATCTCCTTCTCCCATCATTCCTAATTTAAAGCTCTCCTTACCAGGTTAGCCAGCCTGTCTGCAAAGATATTTTGCCCCAGTTGTTCAGCTGGATCCTGTCTCTTCCTAGGAGTTGACCCTCAAAGAGAGTCCCACTGGTCTTAAGACCCAAATCCCTGTTGTCAACACCAGGGTCAACACTCAGGTTGCTTGGGTGCTTCGCTAGACACAGCAGGGCTGCCAGCCCACCTGCAACCAGGGCACTGAGCCTATTCTGTAGTTGCAGATCTGCAGGTGGAGCAGAAGCCTTCCTCCTAGTGCCAGTAGTTGCAGGCTTCTGCCCTTCACCATCGTGGGACTCCGTTTGCCAACCCAAGAAGCGGAGACTCTGACTGCTCCTTCTTTGGTACCTTCGGGGGTTCAGGCTCTTGTATGTGCGATACCTTGTGTTATGTCTCAGGGAGGATCCACTCAGTCTCCTTTTTGTCCTCTCTGTACTGCACAATCTGCTGACCTCCTCATGCTGCTCCTTTACATGGTGGCCCAGGCACCAGGCACCTCCACCAGGGCATACCTCCTGCAGGCTAGAAGACCATCTCCCACTGCCCCAGCCTTGGCAAGAGGCCCCATCATCCCTGCAATCCCAGGCCTGCAGAGCTGCATACTCCCTCGGGAGCTTAGTCTGGGTTGAGACCTGTGGTGTGCCGGGATAGTTGTGCCAGTTGCTGCTGGGGACTGTGCCCGGTGGAGCGTCCCCACCACTGCAGAGCCCACATACACTGACCTTAGCAGCGTTTCTGGGCCTCTTCTGTGCACAGTCCTGCACGAACTGCTGCATCTGCTGGCTGCCTCTGTCAGCTGTGCTCACAGAGACTGAAGCGGGACAATGGTGGTGCTGGACAAACACAGGGAGACAGGGAGGCTAGGAAGGACTTAGCATAGGAAGACTTGTTCACATTTGGTTCGGAGACCTTTAGAACTATTTCTAACTGGGTTTAGGGACTTTTGAAATTGGCTATAGGGACAACCTACCCGCATGATATTTTCCCTGAATCTTCTTCCCATCTTTTTCCTGACAAGCCTCACATTTCCAAGTACATCTAGTGTTTTCCAGCTGTAGTGCTTTTCCAGTGTTTCACCGGGGAATGTCTTCTCTCCATTTCATAAATGAGGAACTGGGCTTCTTCAGAGAGAGCAGGTAGTATGACAGAGGTCATAAAACCTTGTTTTGCCCGTAGGCTATCAGTGGCCCATAAGTGATTCTCTTTTCCTCCATGTTGACGTCTTTACTGCGTTAATTGTGTTCAGCTATGTGCTACTTCCTGGATGACTGAAAATGTGAAAATGGTGCTCCTTCAGAGGAGCAAGGATCAACTAATTGTGTAAAGCAATAATGCAGTATCCATTGCTGTCTTCACCCTCCAGGAGAACAAGCATTCGTGAGTGGTAAAACTTCTTTATGGAGACTTCTTGTGAAATTGGATGTAGACCTTCAAAGGGCAGTCCACTAAATGACAATGGCCATAATGGTGCTGAGTTCCTAATATTAACGCAGGGACCGAGGGAACAACTGCTGAACTCCAGTCTCCACAGCAGGAAGGCAAGGTGGAAGGGATCTGCATATAGAAATATCAGTGGGAGTCACCTTTCTCTCTCAGACTTGCTTTGTTCTCTTGAAATAGATCTCCTCCTTTTTTAGAGCCCCAAATGATCAAGTCTAGTTGTAACTGCAAATAGCAGTACTGAAGACGCTAATTTTCCTCACCCTGGATCCATTAATCTGTGAACTTCCAGCTAAAGTACCTGTCCTTAGTGAGTGGTAAAGGAAGACTCTTGCTTAGACTAAGGAAGCCATAGGAAGGCAGACACCCTTAGAAGAAATCTGGGCAATAAAATGTCTCTGAGAAGCATTAGAGTGGTCATTACTGAAGCCAAGCCACTTGTGTATCACTGTTTATGAGCAGAGGGCTGAAAAAACAAGCATCAATTATGCCACGCTCTTTGCAATATTTGACCAAGTGTGTCTGTTCCAGCGTGGCAACAGAAATGGATTTTACAGCTGCTTCAAGGGAAGGGGGAAGGGGGGGCAGGAGGAAGAACCGCAGCTGCGCTTGCCCTAGGGCTTGTGGCTTTTTGGCTTTGTGTGAGTGGTGCAACTGGAATCTGCTGTGTTTCATCAAACAAATGGCTCCCAGCCAGCAGGCGGTTTAACTTGATTAACCCAAGATGAATGTCACAAGTCTTAGAGATCACAGAGGATTAGAGAAGGGGAGATGAACAGTGGCAGCCCTGGCTCATGATGGATGTCAGTGAAAGTCTGTGCACGTGGGTCCTGCCAGGGACTGCTGTTTATTGGGTATTTTTTTATCTGTTTATTGTTTTCCTGTGAAGAACCAAGTCCCATCCTATTTTTTTTCTGATTTGTGAAGGCAGGTGTTTGCCACAAGTGCTCTAAAACTTCATTATCGCAAAGAAAGAGATCCTGACCAGATAGAAGAGATAGAGCTAAAAATGTGCACAGTGGCTTGTCTCTGGAGACTTGATTTGAGCAGGTTTGGACCTAGAGACTTTTACTGGTCACTAAAAGTGAAATCTTCAACATACCAGGTACAGGGCTAAGTTTAGACAGTGGGAAATTGTAGTGGATAGGAGCTGTTTTCCTATGAAAGAGACAGGGGCATCTGAAATAGTATGTATGGTATACTACAGCAGAGAAAGTGATATTGGATTCGTTGTGTATACAAGAGTTAAGACAGTTTCCCCTTACTGTGGAGCATGTCCCTTAAAGAAGAGCTGGTTGTTGGCATGAAGAAGGTTAGAAGAGGAAATAAAAGGCATATTTGCAGCATGCAGAACAGTGCAGTAGAGTGACCCCTGAGTTAGCTCCAGAACCAGAAACCTTCTCACAGACTGGGAGAGAGGGGAGTGTGAAAGGTAAAATTCTTCAGAGGTGGGAATGCGGAACAAAACAGTAAGGAAACACTGAGCTCAGGCAAGAGAGAATGTATGCTCTTGCCATCCTCCAGTTGTAACAGAAGAACTCCAGTATTAAAGAAAAGAAAACAAAATGGAGTAAGAAAAGGCTAGGCTTCAATAACTCAGCAGCCTTGGGTTTTCCAGCCAAGGAAAGTTCTTGCACACATTCTGCTGAATTCTTGCTTATAGTCCATCGAATTCTCTAGAAGCACTTTTTTCTAATACTTGCCTTTTATCTTGAATGTGAAAGCTGGTTTTGCCAAACATATCATATGACGTTATTTCCACTGAACATTGCAGCGTGGCAGTACATTTCCTGTTTTCAAATTTTATTAGGTTGGAGTTGTGGAGCACTATCAAGTATCTCACAGATCCTAAAATTGCTTAGATATTGCATCAGATAATTCCAAATATTGCTGCTGCAAGACAGTTGACTACAGTCTGTGCAGTTATTGTGGTGTTCTCTCATATTAGTACATATAAAGTGGAATTGTGCATAAATCACAACTTGTTATAGGGAGATGATAGTTTAATTTTCTACAGAAGGTACTGGATACTGGAATGGATTGTTTCACGTTGTGGTGAGGAGCTGTTTGGCCAGATTTAGTGCCTGAATTTTGGCAAATAACTCCAGAGTGTGGGCAAGAGAGTTCTGTGGACCTCTGCTGCACTGAAGCCACTCTTGCTAAGTCAGTCGCATGACAGAGATGAAAGAACAAAATACCCGAGAGTCCCTGAAAGCAGAGGCTCAGGAACAGTGCCCTGCACAGAAAGTCACGCTGCCGCTGCCCATGCAGTTCTTGTCTTCTAGGCAGACAAATGGAGAACTCTGATTTTGGAACTGTCGGGAGGTGGGGGCAAGAACTAATGTTATTTCTAATTTGAGTAGAAGACAGATAAAAATTGAGAAAAAACAAGGTAAGCTTTTCTAAAACACGGGATCCTGTGTTACAGCCAGGTAGTCGAGAACTGTTGACTGGTCCCAACCTCTAATCATTTCTGATTTTGTGACAATTTGTTTCTGCTTCCTGCATTAGTTAAAAATGACTATTTTTCCCTTAATACAGGTGACTCACTGGCACAGTCCATACTTTTTTGCCTACTTCCCTACAGCCTCTTCCTTCCCAGCTCTTCTTGCAGATATGTTATGTACTGGAATAGGATGTGTGGGCTTTTCTTGGGTAAGTTTACTGGGGTGTGTACTGCTATGTGGTGATGGTGCTTCACCTTGCCAAGATTTTAAGCATTTCAGTAACATTCTTCAATGAAATTATTGATTAATAGCAGTGCAGTCACAGGACTATTTTTATAGGTAAATTTCCTTGACTAATTAAGTGTTTTCACATAGATACCCTGAATGACTCCGGGAATAAAAGGCTATTCCCTCTTAGAAGTTTTGCCCTTGAAAAATCACCAGCATTTAGAATTAGTGGTAGCAGCTGAAACTTACTGGTAGTTCATTAAGTGGTATGACTGCTGCCTGTCACCCAATGTTGTTACTTCTCTTATCATCTGGATGAATGGAAAACTGTGTTAAAAAAACCCCCACATTCATATGAGATGGGCTCTTCTCAAAAGAGGTTGGTGCTTGATGTCGAAAAAAAATATGCAAGGTGCAAATCCTAGCTTTGACATTTGATAGTCATGGTTCTATGTGAGGCCCAGTTTGACATTTTTTTATTAAGTATTAGAAACAACATGCACAAAATGGTCTTCAGGTCCCAAATTTAGCTGGTGAAGTTAGTCAGCTAGTCTCTTCCTCTACAGTCAAAAGACAGAGAGAGAGAAAGAGTTATTCTTGCTTTGGTAGATTCTATTTCTCTTCGTGGTCTAGTGAGGTTATTCCCTCTGTTCTGTTTTTCAACACAGGCCGCAAGTCCAGCTTGCACAGAGCTGGAGATTATCACGCTGGATTGGCTAGGGAAGATGATTAATTTGCCTGAAGAGTTTTTAGCTGGGAATGGTGGCCAAGGTGGAGGAGTCATTCAGGTAAGAGGGGACATGAAAAAAGAATATGGGATGAATTTGTAAAACCTTCATACCAAAACACTAATAAAGGAAAGATATCTTTTTTTCTGCCACATGGATTCCTTTCGGATTTTCAGAACGACTGATGCTCTGTGAGAATGTCCATAGGTGGGTAGGATCATTCATGAATGTAATGGTTTTGTTTTCCGAGCAGCTGAATTCTGAAACACTCTGCTCTGGGAAGAATTGTTAGTAGTTCAACTTAACAGCACAATTTGGGCTTCAGATTCAAATCATAATGTTGAAGCATCGTGTAGGATGGAAACTTTAATTTGTTGATCAAGTGACATGAGCTCATACTTCCCGACAGCGTGCAGCAATGTTTCATGGCTGAAAACAGAAAAAAACTTCTCAAATAGAAATATATCTGAGGATTTTGAGTACAGCATCATGAGAAGTGGTTACAAAGACTTCCATGAAGTCCACCTTAGACATGTTCAACTGTTTACTTCAGTCAGTTTCCAAAACAGCCTTTCTTTTTTTCAGGAAAAAAGTGTCAGAGATCAAGCAATGGATAAGAACCTAGGAGAGAATCTTCTCTAAGCAGAAATAACAGAATGTAGTAGAAAGTCTATCAAAGTTTGTCAAAGAAGTAGAAATTATTTTAAGATGTTTTCCTTATATAACAAAATGAAATACTGTGATATTAAAACAAGATGAAGAACTGCTTAAAATTTGAACCTGAATGGTTCTATCAGTAGATAATACAATTTTCAGACTATACTGCAGTATCCAAAATAGAACAAAACCCCCAAACTTTGACGTTGACTGCTTCATGAAAGCCTGCAATGTCTGAACAGAGTATCTGTACAGTAATGAATATATCGCCAATGGGCAAACTTGCATGCACAATAAAGCTGTATTGTTTGTCGGCCACTAGCATATGGTCTTTCTGCAAATGCAGACTCTGGTCACAGCTATTAATCTACCTCAAATAGATCTGTACTATGAAAAAGACTGAATTTTAAATAATTGTTCTGTGCTCCTTTGATAGTCTCTGGAGTCTGGTCTTTGGAGGCCAGGGCACAATCCATTTTATCCTAAGACAGGCTTCTAAAATACATCTGAATTGCATGCTAGAAGCGGGGGCTTCTTTCTTTGATCTCAGCTGCAAATGCCTACTGCATATTCCAATGAATTCTTCCCAACATCTTCCCAGGCAACCCAACTGCTATGGTTCTCCTAGGTGGAGCTGCACCTGCACCAGTGTATCTCCAGAACAAGCCTTTATTCATCTGCTTGCTCTGTTAGAATCTTTTTCATTACGATTACTGGGGAGGGGGTTATGCTCACAAAATCAAGCTTTCATCATGCGTCTTAGCAGCACTTATTTTTGTACCAGGGAAAGCAAGCAATTATGCCTGATGGTTATCTGTGCCCTTCCAGGCTGACGATGCTGGATTGCCCATAATTTTCCTCAGAAACCAGTCAGTTTCAAGAATCGAAAGTGGGCTCTGTGTTCCTGCTTATGATGAAGTCATCCGTGCCGCAGATCTTCTTTTCTTGCTCTTGAAACAATAATGATACAAATAAGAGCGCGTGAGGCAAAGACAACATGAGCGCGTGAAAGTGCCAGTCATTCTCTTGGTAAATAGCAAGTAATTATTGTGGTATTGGGTAAAACAGAGCCTGTGAAAACTGGCTCTTAATTACATTTGAAAGTCTATGTCAATATGAAGCACTTTGTTGTGTGCAGGATGACACTTGAAAATGGTAAAAGATGAAAGAAAATTTCAGGTCAGAGCTCTGGTGGACATGAACATCAGCTCTTGGTGATATTTCTTCCGCCTCTTGAGCCTGCTTGCCATGGCAACCTTTGTTTGCTTGCAGTAAAAGGGAAGGTATCATCATCCTTCACTTAATGCAGAATACAGCATTCAAGAGGAGAAAAAAACAGCTTTCAAAAATAAGTGAGAAAGCAACTTTCTTCCTGAAGCTTGTATCCTGCTGTTCGTTCTAGATAAACTGCTGGAAAGCATACCTAATTTGAATTTTAAAGGGTTTCCTTGCTCTGCAAAGAAAAAGCATTTTAAGGGTGAAACAAAATGAGAGTGAGCCTATCTTTGGCCTGGCAAGGAGCACTGCTGATTTACCTTTCTTGTCAGTTAGCCAAGTATTTCAAGAACCAAGGGTTTTTTTCTTCAGAAATATTTAGCACAAGACTTTGGTGCCAAGTGATTAGAAACACCTTACAAACCAAGTTCTGCAAACACTGTAAGCTTCAGTATAAAAGGGTGACCTATGGAAACGGAGGCAAGGTGAAAAAGCCTATGATGTCTATCGTGAGACATCCAAAAGCATTTCCAAGTTGCTGGATTCAGGTGCCTTGAGGCTGTACATCAGGAGGCAAGATTCAGCTGGGCCACAGGCCCTTTCCTGTTCATCCTTGTTTCTGTGTAAGGCAGGAACTGTTGTGTACACTGGGTATGCACCAGCCTGGGTGAACAGCCAGGATGCCAGGACACCTTGTGGCACTGCTCAGAAGGCTGAGGCTATTCTTGAGCCTAAGTCATTTGCCCGCCTAGTGGGGGCTTAAATTTCCAGATCTCAAATTAATGCCTTAACCTTTGGAATTTCCTACAGCCATTTTCTTTTCTATATTTGCACGCATTTCTTTAATATGCATATTCCTTACAGCCGTTTTCTCCACGTTTGAAAGATTTTCAGGTATCCCCTTAAATATATCTTTTAATGAAAGTAATAATTAGTATTATTTCCCACATATTAAACGCAAGGGTGCTGGAGCTAAGCTTACTGTGAAGAACCCAGGTTTAGAAAGGTTGTTTTCAGTGACTTGCCCGATGCGAGGTGGAATTAGGTCTTGCACGCAGGCTTTATGTTGCCCAGCTTCATTATGAGGACATACAACTTACCTGAAAAACTGTATGAACATCACAATAAGTTGCAGCGGTTTGCAGAAATGAAAAGTATTCTCATCTGCTGAAATGCTGGAAAGGGTATTTCAGGCAACATTGTCTGATAGTATACGCCCATTATGCAGGTCTTCTGATTATGCAGGGTTCTTTAGAAGATTATATACTGCTTGTAAACAAAAGTAGGAAAAAAAAAAACCCAGCTTCTCAGAAAGTAGGTGATGTTCTTGATTGTAAAACATGCCTCACATCTGCTGGACAGCCAGGACCCGAGTCATTATGTTGTAGGTCACAGGACTGTCAGGAAGCACAGGTATTTTTTTTCACCGTTACTTCAATAACATTGTGCTGAGCATGGCAGAAATAGTTTTGCTAACAAAGACATGTTGACACAAGTTTCTCATCAGGAAACTTACACTGTGTGAGATTCATCTCACATTTTGTCAGATGAAGTTGAAGGTACAAGAAGGTACCTTTAGAGGAGCCATTTATCTCAGTCCATAATATTTGCCTAAAATAGATGGAACTATGGCTTTTTGGATATGTTTACCTCTCCCCACTGACTACTAAACAATTATTTTGTCTCAGATATTTAATTTTTTAGACAGATAAAGTGAGATGAATCAGCTCTTGAAAGTTCTTTACGCGTAAGATGAAGATAATGTGCACACACACTCTTGCATCATGAGTTTTGAGAACTACGGACAGGCACGATTTCTCGGCGTTCAGATATTCTGATAAGTATTCTGAGTACCTGGCTACAGACCACATGCAGAATCAGATTAAAGAGGGAGACTGCCAAATTATGTTTTCTGTAATTAATGGACAGAATGTCCTTCACCCCTTGCCTCCACAGGGAAGTTCGACCTTACTTGACCCAAGAGGGATATTTGTTTTCCTATACCATTCTGTATCTGCAATATTTTCCACAGTTACCATACTGCTGTATGCAGCAGCAGCGGCTGTCAGAAATGCACAAAACTGTCTCTGGCTAATCTTTGTGCTCTGATGCAGACCCTGGGGTCTACATTTCTCAAATCCCACACCACCAGAAAGGCAGATAAAATATATTTGTCATGGCAATACATTTAGTAAATGTTTATACAGTAATGAATATATCGCCAATGGGCAAACTTGCATGCATAATAAAGCTATATTCTTTGTTGGCCATGGCTCCACTAGCGTACAGTCTTTCTGCAAATGCAGACTCTATCGCAGAGCTCTTGGCAAGGGACTGTCCTTTTTCCTGCTTACTCCATTCAGGAGGCTGTTGAATTCCAGCTGGATTGAGTTCGCTCACTGTTGAGAAGTTGACATGTGTAGAAGGCGGGTTTGTCTCATATAAATAGCTCAGCTAACTTCAGTATTAGGAGAAAGTCTGAGTCCACTGGCATCATCCTCATGTATGAAACCTGTAGGATCAGGCCCACCTCCAGGGAAGAAATAAGACTTCCCAAATATTTAAACTTTTGTTGTAATTAGTAGGTATAGACAGGTCTTCAACAGAGGGAGGATAGAAGTTTGGTACAACTATAAGAAACATCACTCCAAAATTAGCTTGTTGACACTGAGGATATTTCTGAGACATGCTTGTTAATACAAGCAACTGTATTCAGGGCCGTGTTGTGGGCTTGGCAGAGGAAGGTGCACAGGACAATTGCTCAACTTTGAAAGTACCTAAAAAGTGTCTTGCGTATGGACACCCAAAACCATTGACATTTAGGAACGTGTGTTTACAAACCATTACTTAGAGTTCAAAAGAGCAGTTTAGAGCATGTTTCACCTGCCTGTTCTAGAGGAAAACCATGAAAAGAATTTGCGGGAACGTGTACTCTCTTGTGAAATTTACAGATCACTTGATACAAAAAATTCCCCTCTTTGTTGTCACAGAGTATCCAAGACACAATTTAAACTCATGTTTTGTGAGTCAAAGGGCAATTTAGAAAGA